AATAAAATTTGATCCTTCAACAATTACTGCAGTAATTCATCCAAATGCAGTTTATACTAGCAGATTATTAAATTTTATAAACCTTCCCCAACCTGTGAATTCCAATAAAGTAACAATTATTGGTAATAATAATGGTAATTATTAACATTCAATTATTGATTATTTTCATTTTTATTAAAATTAACAAACAATATTCACTCTTGTGATAAATATTTTGTAGATTCTAAACAAATTGATTTGGCTATACCAGATGACTTACCTGAATAAATTAAATCTTATCACTTGTTATGTATTAAATTATTTATTTATTTTTGTTTATCTGACTACTATAGTTTAAATATCTTGAAAATGATATTATAATAACTTTTTTGAATTTTTTTTTTCATTTTGAAATTCAGATGTCAACTATGCATACTAAATAAAAAATAATGATTTTTGATAAAAAAATAAATATATATAATTTTTAATAATCATTGTTATCATACATACATAACTGCAGGATTATTTGTTTCTTACCTTTTCAAATCAATGATTTCATTTTTTCATAGCATTAACAAGTTGAAGTGATGTACTTATCAATATATCATATATATAATATATAAATAATTTATTAATATATTAAAATTTATCTGAATAATTCAAATATAATAAACATTATCAAATAAAAAAAGCCACATCTAATCATTTTAACTTGCTTGTTGAACCACTATTGCAATAAACTTCCAGAAGAGGTTCCCCATCCTCCAGATTTGGTTGTCCTGAATGATTCTTTCCTCCAAAAATACGCAACAGACACAAACTACAGTAGATTGATTGTGGGTTTTGTTGAGCCAAACAATGCCAAACTCCTGATCTTATTTGGAAACCCTGATCTGAAAGCTTTGATATTTCCCCCAATAGGTAGGGACACTATGAGTACATTAAAAAATACCACTTTCAATAGATAGCTAGGCCCTGCTTGTGTTGGTACTAGCACATTGATGCTTGAAAAAAGAAGAAATTTTCAAAATTAGAACCAGATACTGGCCACCAGAAATGTGAACTGTGAGAAACATCCATCAATACCACAACCTTGTCATCGAATTTCAGAAAGAAATAAGTGTGTAGGGCCTTTCTCAGATCTTCTACAACTTGATGATGACCAAAGACAAATGGGCTTACTTGCATAAAGTGGCAACACCATGCCAAGAAATCACCCATTGCACATCTACCTGCACTACTGAAATATGCTGAAACAAGTTGTGAAAGGACCCTGAGATGGTGAATTAGGGCATTTCTTCAAACATGACAATTTTCAAAATCATGGAATGATCCACATGGACAGCTTTACCTACATGAAAAAAAGAAAAATCTCACTTAATCCAATCTATGCAGACATTCCATCATGGAAAAAACATTGTATAATTTGGTCATAAAGTATCAGATTACACCATTGTAACCGTCTAAATTTTAATTGTCTATGCATAATTTCGAAAATAATGGGCACATGACTTGAAATTTATTTACAAAATTAACAAGAAAATTATTTTATTTTAATTCAACTAATAATAGAAAAATACATAAATGATTTATAAAAATATTGTCAGAGCACTTGCATGGGAGGAAAATACTCGACCCAAAGCCATTTGTAAGTATTACCTATTCTTTGGGCGACAAAAATTCAACTTTTCATTATTACTACTGCTATTTATTATTATCAATAATAATATTATTAATATTTATATCATCAGTTTTTATTATATTTTTCATCACCGAGTGATGTAAAAACTAGGGGTTGGCACTGTTAACCAGTTAACCGCAATTAAACAGTTAACCAGTTAAGATATTTTTTAACCGGTTAACCATCATTTAATATTAATTTTTTTTTTATATAATTATTATTACAGTCAAACCTCACCAGCGGATTTCTTGTTACAACGGATTTTTGACAGGGGTCTTTCTACTATGTACTAGTCTCATCGCAGCAGATTCATGCAACATATAAATTTATGAAATTTGACCAAATTACCGAAATTGATAATATAGTTGGAGGAAAACTGGATTCTCTCTTTGGAAAATGAAATGCCTAAGAATGAAATTGAAAATTCAAGAAATATAGTTGAAGAGAGAAAAAAATGATGTTAATAATTTAATCAATCAGTTATCATTTGCCCTTAATTAGAAACAGAAGAATATATTACCATTGATGATTTTCAAATAAATAATGAAATGGTAACAGAAGAAGAAATAATTGCCTCCTTTAATCCAGAAGAAATTGTTGAGAGTAACACTATGCCTAAAGTTTCAACGAAAGATGCTGTAATTGCCATTGAGACAGCTTTTAATTTTCTTCAACAAGGTGATTTAGGAATAGATTATAAAGAATTTCAAGCATTTAAACCATTGGAAAAAGTGAAATTATTAAATCTTGTTTTGTATTTCAACAATTTCCGCATTAAAAAAGTTTTTGCCGATCATCATCAATTTTGCTACAGCGGATTAAAATCATGTATTTTTCCGCAAAAAAACATCCGCAAATTTGCGCAGCATCATGAAAATATCCAAGTTTATTGGTGGATTGGGTGCGTGTTATCCTTATTTAGAAATTGATTTGGCGATTTGCGGATGATTTTTGTCCATTTATAATAATAATAATAATAATAACGGATTTCTTTGGCCGGAACCATGCTGTGTAGAAGTTTGACGTAATCATTTAGTATTTGTGTGATTATTTTGTAAATAACGAACGATTGAATTTACCAGTTAAAAATTTTCATGTGACTAAATTAACCGGATAATTAATTATCCATTATTATTATTATTATTTGTGAATTCTAAATCCGGATATCTGGTCAAAAATTAACCGGATACAATTATAATAGTAATTATCAGTGACACATTTATTTTTTATAATCGAATGTTTAGGATGCCATGACAAAATAAAACGGTTTAATTCTCTAATATGCCGAATTATTTATTAATATTAATATATATATTTATAAAAAAAGAAATTATTATTATGATAAATCTTGCAATATATGCAATTTACAACAACATATTTACACCAGTTAAAATACATGTGACTAATAGACCAAGTGTTCCTATTAAACCAAATCTACCTCTACCTCTTTTTACTGGATCACCTGTTTGATAACCTTTTGCATAAGCCACACGACCTAAATAATAGTAATGATAACATAATGATATTATTACGAAAATTACTGTAATTATTTAAAAATAATAAATAATGATTATTTAATTACTTATAATCCAAATTAATCCTGCGACAGAAGCGATTTTTGGATATTGTAATCCACCAAAAGTCAATCTAATCATCAGATTAAAAACAAGTATGTGAATTATTATTATTTACTATTCATTTATTAATGATAATTAAAATTAATATTTACTTACAAAAATAAAAACTGTGGGTAAGTTTCAAGAGTATTCTGAAAAAGAAAAAAAAAACCTATAATTTAGTTATTTATTTCTTCGAGAAATCAAATGACTTGATGATTTGATTGGTTGTACCTGATGAGCTCTTTGATAACAATTGAAAATAAATTTGTTTTTATCTTTTTCTGCTTCTTCGTTTGTCGCATACACTAAAAAAATCAATCAAAAATACTTTTAACCAACAATCAATCAATCAACCAACCAATCAATCAAATAATTAAAAGAAACATTTACAAGTAGGATATTTGACGTTGTATTTTTTCCTTGCAGAAACAACACTGAATGAAAGATAAACTGTTAAAACAATGGATGCGACTCCAGTTAAGATAACCTAAAAACATTATTTAAATAATTAAATTAAATAATTAAAATAATAAATTAATCAAATGGATAATAATAAAATGCATTACATATCCAAAATCGTCTGAAAATTCAATTTTTGCCATTGTAATTATAATTTATTTTTATAGATTTATTATTTCGATAGATTTATTATTTCGATAGATTTGTTATTTCGATAGATTTATTATTTCGATAGATTTGTTATTTCGATAGATTTATTATTTCGATAGATTTATTATTTCGATAGATTTATTATTTTGATAGATTTTTTTATTTAGAAAAGTTTTTTAAAAAAGAACTTTTGTCACTTATATATTATAAATATGTACACACGTATACCTACCTATATATATATTGTTATTTCTGAAATGGATATTTCAGTTATTAGTATTAGTAGTTTCACAAATAAATACTTCTTGCATTAATAATAATATTTATATTAATAATCAAGAATAATCAAGAATAATCAAGAATAATCAAGAAGTAATTTAATTTGTTAATAATCCAAAGATTTTAAAAAATTTATTTTCCAGTTGCGTAATTAATTATTTGGAAAAATATTTACCCTTCCCAACGTTCCAGGACTGCAAATGACTTTTAATTGTTATTTAGAAAACAATCGATCAATTAATTGGATGGGATCACACAATGGCAGTCTTTTATTTGGGAACATTTATACTACAAAAGGATTTAAAATAATAATTGTACTACCAATCAATATAGATATTAATTCCTGATTATGATGATCCTTGAAATCCTTTGTAGTAGTACGAATGCTCCAGTATGCCTCATTTTGTCAATTCATTCATTATTTATTATTATTTTGTTGCCTTAATGTAGCTTTTAAACATGCAATTGTACATTAATCAATAAGCTAAAACGAATATCCTAATATTAATACCAATTCAAAGCCTAATTAATTGTAGTTTATTGTGAGTTTTTTGGGATTTATTGTTGTTATTATGTACTTATATGACCACACTAGGCTACATGTAGTAGATTTATTTTCTTCATTAATTCCGCGTTTCGGCCGATTAATTATTATATATAAAATTCGAATATTTTGAGTATATATTTTTTTAAAAATTTTTTTTGGATACATTCTTAATTCATTAATTAATTAATTAATTCATTCATTCGTTTATCTTTTTGTTTTTTCTTTTACCCATCCTATCCAAAATGGGAAGCACCATTAGTATCGGCGATATCAGTGTAAAGAAATATTATAAAAAAAATAAAAACCGTACAAATTTATCATTTTTGTCATGTTCTTCATCTTCTGATGATAAATCTTTGTGTTCATCTAAAAGTTCGGATAGAATCAATGTTTATATAGATGGCAGAAGATATCTTGAAAGTTCAAAATATTCTTTGCCGAATGATGACGAAGAGATTGATAGAATGCACATGCAACATTATATATCAAGATTTATTTGGCAAAAAAATTTTTGTTCTCCTTTAGATGATTTGCTAAGATACGGTGGCGCAAAAGTTTTAGATGTTGGGTAAGTATACTATTTATCGTTGTTATTTTAATAGGAAATATTTCCAAGTAGAAAATACTAATAAATAATAATAATAATTAGGTGCGGTGCCGGGACATTTTTGCTTGAGATGGGACATGATTATCCCGAATCAGAATTCCTAGGAATTGATATTTCGCCAATGTATCCATCAGAAATTAAACCTTCTAATGTGAAATTTGAACAAATTGATGTTCTAGAGGGTTTACCATATGATGACAGCTCGTTTGATTTCGTTGTTATAAGAAATATGATAACTGCTTTTTCTATAGATGATTGGGATTTTTGTATACAAGAATTAATCAGAGTCACTAAACCAGGTGGCTATATCGAGGTAAATATTATTGATATTAATATTAATATTGTGTATGTATGTACACACATATTTCCATTTACAATAATAATAATAATATTATTATTTTAGAGTTCAGAATTTGAAATACCTGCTTCAAATAGAGGTCCAGTAGCGAAAAAATTATCAGAAGCATGTAAGTAAATTACAACAATTTTATTTACTATTATTATTATTATTATTATTATTATTATTATTATTATTATTATTATTATTAAACGTTTCTAATTTACATTTTCACTTTCCTTTTCAAGGGATTGAAATAATGAAAGCAAAAAGTATAGATATAACTTATTCAAATAAACTCGAAGGTTTATTTTCATCTTGTAATGATTTAATAAATATTAATCACAATATTAAATTACTTCCAATGGGTACATGGAATGGTGATGGGGTGGGTAAAATCATGGCGGAAGATTTGGTTTTATTGGCAAAAGCTTTTGGTCCTATATTGTTACTCTCTTGGGGTATAACTTCCGAGCAATATAATTATTTAGTTGATAATTTAACTAATGAATTGAACGAATACAAAACTTATTCTAATATTCATGTAATTTATGCACAAAAAAAATTTAACTAATCACATTGATTAATTTTGAATTTCTTTTTGTTTCTTATTTAATATAAAAATAATATACAGTAAAGGATGACCCTGTTGTATGGAAAGCAAGGTTGTTTTGTATCGTCTGCTAATTTAGCATGGCTTGATGGTATCATTTGATTTTTCTGAGAGAACCGCATCTTTTTTCTTTTATTTTATTATTAAAAAAATAAAAATTTTACATGATAAATTAAACACAATGACCGCTCTGTCTGTATTCTATCTATATTTTTATAATAAACTTTGAATTTTTGTCTAAAAATTACTGAAAATGGTGTTTTAAGTCATAAAATGAAAGATTTTTAAAGGTTATTTTATAATCGAAATTGTTTTTTATACAGTCCACACTGTCTATCAGGACCAGGAAATTTGTCCGTTATTATTATAGAGAGAATCTGGTATAGAAAATTGTACCACATTAAGTCATGCGGAATAAAAAAAATTTCATTATTACATAAAACAGTAATAATTAATATTAAAAAAACTGTAATATAGATTGTTTTGTTGAATTGAATTCTATTTTTTTAATTTTCTTTTTGTCATTTTTTAACTGTTTCAATTCCTCATTTGTAAAATTCCTTAAACTGTTGTTCAAACAAACAAGTTTATTTTTTCAATAGCCAATAAAGCATCTTGACTTGAAATAGGAGATGTCTCTTCGATGTCTTCTTCATCCTGATTTTCTTCATTAAAATTCGACGTAGAAATTATTTCTTCTTCATTCAGCAAATCATCATCATCAACATTTTTTCCATTTCATCAATACTTTTAGTTCATTACATCATACCTTATGTCATTTATTTCAAATAATTGTTTTAATTTTTTTTTGGATTTTATAGACAACATTTAATATTAATTATAATTTAGATTTGTGAGATCTGCATTTTATTTCAGATCACGCGAATCCGTTATAGGCAGTGTTTATTTAGGTCATATGAAGTGATTTTCAGATACAATATCCGTTATAGAAAGAGATTTCAAATAGTAAAAAATCGGGACCAAACTTTTAATCCGTTATTATTATAGACAGTGTAGACTGTAATTAGTATTAGCATATCGGACTATTTTCTCGGCATGGCAGACTTTAAAGAAAGAATTGGCAAATTTTTATGCTTTCAAGTAAATATAATCTTGTGCTTTTACTCTTTCAAGTACGATTTTTATTTGCTGGCAGTTTTTTCTTTGGAGGGTAATGATGGGAAGGAGTCTATACTTAGAAAATATATGGTTTGTACGGGGTTTTGAACAAAAAAGGATTTTGCATTGAAGTTAACAATATTGTAACTATTTCCTTTCCACTTTTCGTATTTATTGATTATTCATTTGTTAATGATTTTTTTCCACGTGTGTAACAAAAATAATAAAACGCGCTTTTATTTAAAAAAAAAGAGAAATTATTACTTTGTTTTTTAAAAAATGTTCTTCAATTCTACGCGTAACTCTTTATGTAGAACAGCTTTGGCTTAGGAACAATACCTATTTTGTCTACTTTATATGGCAAAATTTTGAGATTTTTTCCTTTAAAGTTTCAAAAATAAATTGAAATGCAGATCTTTTTACAATCTATTTTTAGAGTTCCCCTGTTTCTATTGAAAAGTTCCCGTGTATTTATCATCAATCAATCTATCTATTACTATATAGATGAATAAATAAGTAAAAAGGGAATTATCCAGCAGCAATCTTTGTAAAAAAAATTTTGGAAAACAAGATGCAAAAGTATCACCAAATAGAAGTAATATTAATTACTAATAGAAATAGAATAGATAGGAAGAATCATGAAATTAAATATTGTGTAATTTTTTCTATGAATGTATTTTTTGCTTTATCTTCTGTGTTCTAGTGTATTTTCCCACAAAAATATATATATATATACCAAATTTATATAATAAAGGAATGAACTATGGCGATGACACGTGTCAGTAGGCCTCCCTCCTTTCAAGGAGGCAGTTATCATTGTACTATATAGTATGATCTTCCCTTTTAAATATTGACATGATCAACACAAAATGGTTGTTTCAGGCAAAACAAAAAAAAATGTATCTAGATAAACAAGAATTTATGATGGAAGATAATGTGGACAATATGGTGATTGGAATGGGAATAGAAGAAATGTTAGAAGAGGAAGAAGAAAGAAAAATTGCTTCAAAAACTGATTATGAAAAAGTAAAAACAGCTTTAATAAATGAAAAATTTTCTCCAGAAATTTTATAATTTATATGTTGAATTAAATATCAAGTAATGAACAATTCACTTGTTTATATATATATTTGGGGAAAAATACAAGATTAAAAAAATAAAAATAAATATATTAAAATCTATATATATAACTTATATATAATAAGATGGAATCAGCTCTTAATAATTTTAGAAATGCAAAAAGTGAAAGTTCTTATATAGGTTTCATATTGCTTGCAGATGTTGAACATATGAAATATATAATATAAAAATATACAATGATACAAATAAGCAAAGTAAGAATTTTTATTATTTTTATTATTTATTAATAGATTTATGTTAAATATATATATTAAAAAACATAATTATATAAATCAAAAGGTTGAAAAACAATTAGAATTGATATTAAATATGCCAGTGTATTTACAAAGATTGTCAGACACAGAATCAGTATTTGCTAACAAGTAAATCTTGATTATGTAAGAACAATTATAAATAAATCATATTATATTAATATTGATTATTATTAAACAGTTTGAAAAAATGCATTTTTAGATGATATAAATGATCTAGATAATGATGAAATTGAAGTGGTGGAAGAGGAAAATAATCAAGATATAGGTCAATATAACAGTAATAATAAAATAAATAGATTTTTCTGATTTAATAAAACTTAATTTTCTTTTTTAGATTTATTATCAAGTCAATTGGATCTTCAGAAAACAATATTTTGTTGTACTATAAGAACAGTTCATGAAAGCCAACTTCCTAAAAGGTATATATTATCCACACTATTATTTATTTTTTATTGAGGAGGAGGTGAATGTAAAAATAAAGAATCTCTATATTTATTAATTAATTGTAATAATGATCACAATAATTATTAACGTTTTTCATCATTGCCATTTATTATAACTATTTTTTAGTGATGGAGAAAATTATTTTTTGGATAGAATGTCACCAAATGAAATATATTTATTAGGATATTCTGAAATCAAACAGTTATTATTATAAGGTTATGTGGAACTTATATAACTTTATTCCATAGTTATAAAACAGACTGTAGAAGATTTCCTTTTTTGAAAAACTGTAGGTTAGTGCATTTGATAAGATTTTAAAAAAACATGCAAGACTAATAAACATTTGTCAAGATTTTTGAAATATTTATATTGGACAAAAAATGTTCTATTCCAAAATTATAATTTTTTTTTCATGCCTTTACTATTATTAATAATTGTAAAAAAAAGAAATATTTAGCATTTGAATAAGTTATATTTTGTAAAAGTCTTCACGTTTAATAAAATGCTGAAGCTCAATAAAAGAAAAAGACTAATTCATAATTCACATGCAGTCAAAAAATGAAAACTAATTCCTTAAAACCTTTACTCTTTGTAGAATCTCCCATAAGATTAATTGAATGAGAAAATAATGTTATTTATTTATTTTTTGTTTTAGCATTTTCTTCAAAAGGAAAAAATTTTTCATAATAAAATCGCATAACTTTGAATTCTTATAAATCCTTATTCTACTAATAATTTTTAAAAAAAACCTCTCTGTCAGGCTATTCTTTGAATCACAGAGAAAAACACTGTGGAGTAGGTAACAATATATATATATTTGTTACCTACTTATGGTAGACTGTTACCTACTTGTCGTATGATTAGTTTGAATTTGCGTCGTACTTTGAGGTACGACGAGTTTGCATTTGCGTCGTACTTTTAGGCTTGAATAATTTGTGATTGTTTTTTCATTGGGTTCATGGAAGAATCCGTATTTGCATCGTACTTTTGAGTTACGATTGGTTTGAATTTGCGTCTTACTTTTAGTGATTGTTATTGACATCCATAACGATAGACTTTTGATGGCCCATCAAAGCATAATTTCAGATTTGAATTTTTCTACATTTATTTTAAGAGACGTCAAAAATTTAGATTCAAAATAGAAAAAAAACACGTGCGCGTTACAATTTGTAACACCGATCTCTAAAGAATTCTAAATTCGTGGTCAAGGTGTCAGAGTAATATTTCTAAAGAAACTAATTATTAGATTTTGAGTCTGTTCTAATTTCACAATTCTGGTGTCGTTCTTCTCTTCACATCGATAACCTATATCTTCAGTGGCAATTTCTAGATCACCAACGGCGTCTTCTAGCCAGATATTGGTAATTTCAGTTAATTTGATACGTTTTTTCTCATGATATGTATTACTTTATTAATAGCAATAAAA